GATGAAAATAGGGAATGAAAGTAAGTGAGAGTAACTAGGGTTGTTTTAATAAATAAGTGAGACCTTTATAATCGCTCTGAGCAGGAAAGAAGTAGCCTACTTTGTAGTTGATGGCTAATTCTGGAGTCTTGGTTCTTTCTAATCACCTTGTGTGGATTTAGAGAATAAGGCTACTATTGTTGTCGTATGACCAAACCTTATGTGTAGTTCAACTCGCTTTATCTATTATTGTCCTTTAATTAATAAAAAAGGAGACGAACTATAATTGAACATATCACATGCACTCACCCCACCCCTGCATCCTATTATTTCCCATTGCCACTGCCTGCAGCCTTTATTTAAACTCTAATATTATGGATTGCCAGATTTGTAAAGCAGAGATGGATTCTGAAAGATACATAACTGCACAATTAGAAAAGCATATTCCTATATGCATAGCATCCATCCGTGCAGTGAGGAGTTTTTGTCAACTCAAACAGTTGCAACCATCGAGAATAACTTGCACGCAACTAAGACGTCAATGAAGCGGCATTCAGGATTAATCACTTGATGCTATGTGGTCCAGTTAAAAAAAAAAAAAAAAAACGACGGTACGTGATAGATCTGGGATACCACCACCATCCTTCTTTGCCAAAGAAATACAAATATATGTGATCTACAAGAGAACATTCACAATGCAGACCCTGCAAATCAGCCACCAACAACGTGTTCTAGCCTATTAAAAATGATTGCCAGATTGTATTGCAAGTAAGTTTCTGGGAGCTTGATTTGTTTTTCTGCAAGTTTTTGGTGCATCATTTTACCTGATGCATATCTAGCAGCTCTTGAACTGTCGTCGGTTCGATATAGTTTACTTACGAAGCAAGCATCCTTCTTTATTTTCTTCCGCGAAAACAAACTTTTGTGCTGCTTGCACTGCCTCGAAACTCACCTGTTATCGAACTTTTCGGAGATAGTCTATGCTTAACTAGAGAAGTTTTAAATCATAACTAGTAATAGAAGATGATGCAGTGAAAGAATCCTATGACTTCATACAGCAAAACAGTTAAACACTGATGAAATTGGGGTTCTACCATAAAACTAATTGGCAATATGGGGAGTGGCTCAAGACCATACAAGCACATAGCAAATCTTGTCCCTCACCGATGTGGGACAACTCTCAACACGCTCCCGCACATGTGGCGGATTTTCAAGCCTACACATGGACAACAACTGGGTGACGTGGAACGCGTGTGGCCGTTTGGCTTCACACGAGGATAACCCGCTCTGATACCATGATGAAATTGGGGTTCCACTGTAAAACCAATTGGCAATATGGGGAGTAGCCCAAGACCATATAAGCACATAACAAACCTTGTCCCTCATCGATGTGGGACAACTCTCAACAAACACATCCGATATGAATCAGTAAACAAGTTCATGACGAAATGGTATGCAGAAGGGTAAGAAACAGGAGGCTAAGACGATTATTTAACCACGTATATAAGTGAACTGAAGGGGTAGTTAGCAGCAGGTTAAAGGTAAACCAAAGATTTCTAGTTTCTTCTTACACACTCCAAGTGCTACTATCAATGTGTCTCAAGGAGATCAATGGTAGATTTCTTCATATCTCCGACATGCATTCACGCTTCACATCCTGTCACATCACAAATGGTATAATTAACTCTTTGATATCAACGGACGTCCAAGTTTGAATCCCCTTCCCCGTAAATTAGAATAAGTTCTCTATTTTGTTTCTTTCGTTTGCGGACTTCTTGAGCATCTTTTCCAGCATCTAAAATGCTAAAGAATGAGTTGGCACATTTCATTACTTGTGGGTGTAATGATATTTTAGAACATAAAGCCGTTCGAATCCTTGGAACATTACTCAACATCAAGTACGGAATTTGGCAAAACAAGTGGAGTTGTTTTCAAAGTTTGAACTTTGAAGGTATCATGCATGGATTTTCTACGGTGCTCGAAGTATTGTGTACGTCGTGTTTTTTAACTATTAGATTTTTGGTTAAAAATACAAAAAGTAGAATTCAACTGTTAAAATGCCCTGAACACGATATAATTTTTGAAAATTGCAATCTTTCACTAGCTATTTTTTAAAGTTTTAGAGCATCAGATCGACGTTAATATTAGTAATACTTGTGCTTTTATTAATGTCATACGTGATACCCTTGAATATATACTAGAAGGTTTTGAGTAAAGTTGTCAAATGCAATAGCTCATTCACAAATCAGAAAACATATGTAGTACTCGGATCGCATTATTCATGCGACTGTTTAAGCACGACATTTTTTTTTCTCGGTCCTACTAAACTCAAGTGGATTTGTTCTGGGACATGGATCCTCTCCGGATCCAATTGTCCTAATCCTAAGGATCAATGAATCTGAATCACTGAAATTTGATCCAACGGTTACAAACAGGGGCATACTTTAAAAGTTATAATAATAACTTTAACCGTTGGATCAAATTTCAATAGTCCGGATTCATTGATCCCTAAGATTAGGACAATTGGATCCGGAGAGGATCCATGTCCTTTGTTCTGGTATGAGAGCTGCCTTCTTTCTCCATGAGATAGTGGGACCTCAACGTTACCCACAATTTCACCCATTGTGAATGAGTTTTTAAACTAGTATGTATGATTTGCCGGCAACAAGATTTCAAGAAATGGAGTATAGCCCCACGTAAGAGAGAGTTTTGGGCCAAAATTCTTCATTTTCTTACTTCTTCCGCATGACTTTTATGCCTCCACAGCATTTGGTTCAAAATTTCATGTGTGAGAGCTTGTGGAAAGAGTTGAGTTTCGAAGCATTTTCCTTCTTAGTAATTAAACAATTTCCTAGCGTCCTTTCGTCCAAAAGGTGCTTTTCTCAACCATACAAGCTATTTGTTTCTCAAATTTGAATTTGTGATAATACATCCAACCAAATTGATTGAGAAGCAAATGAAATTATCTTTCCTTTTTCTTACCAGAAGAGATACAAGCAAAAGAATTTCAGTATTTTGGTGTTAAATAACGCCACTTTAATCTCGATGAGAGAGTTGCCCTATGCGGCGGTCCTGCCCATGTTGTCTCTCCCACACACAACGGAGATTGAAAATGGGAATGAAAGTTAAGTTAGAGCAACTAGAGTTATTTCAATAAATGAGTGAGACTTTTCTAATTACTCAGGAAGAAAGTAGCTTATTTTGTAGTTGATGGCTAATCTCGGGGTCTTCATTCTTTCTAACCGCCTTGTACGGGTTTAAAGAATAAAGTTATAGTCCGACAGTCTAACCTTATGTGTAGTTCAACTCGTCTAATCCATTATCAGTACTTTCATTTAAAAAAAACAAAAGGGAGACCAACTATTACTATAATTGTGCATATCACATGCACCCACCCACCCCTGCATCCTATTATTTTCCTTTTCCACTGCCAGTCTGCCTGCAGCCTTTGTGTGCAAAGTTCTGAACTCAAATATTATGGATTGCCAGATTTGTAAAAGCATATCTGGATTCTGAAAGATGCATAACCACACAATTAGAAAAGCAGATTCCTATATGCACAGTATCCACCCATGCAGTGATAAGAGTTTTTTTCAACTCAAACAATTGCAACTGTCAAGAATAACTTACACGCAACTGAGACGTTAATGTTGTGTCATTCGGGATCAATCACTTGATGCTATGTGTTCAATTTGAAAAAAATACGATAGTGCGTGATAGATTTGGGATCCCGCTACCATCATTTGTTACCAAAAAAATACCCACAGTGTAAATGGCGCCGGCGATCAATTCCTATGTTAATTTCTTTGGAGCTTTAGCCAAATATATGTGATCTACAAGACAACATTCACTATGCAGCCCCTGCAAATCAGCCATTAACAATTTCTGGGAGCTTAATTTGTTTCTGCAAGTTTTCGGGGCATTTGGTAAGAACCATTTTGCCTGATGCATATCTAGCAGCTCTTGAACTATCGTCGGTTCAACATAGCTTACTTATGAAGTCTTTATTTTCTTACCCTTTGCTTGTGCTGCTTGCACCGCCTGCAAACTCACCTGTTATCGAACTTTTCGGGGATAATCTACGCTTAACTGGAGAAGATTTAAGTCATAACTAGTAATATAAGATGGTGCAGTGAAATAATCCTACAACTTGATACAGCAAAACAATTAAACACTTCCGATATGATTCAGTAAAAAACGTTCATCTCGAAAGGTATGCAGAAGGGTAAGAAACAGAACTTATTCCTAAGGATGTCAGTTTCAAAGCAGCACTTATCAACGAAATTTCTTCAGAATGCAGAGAGTAAAGTGTAAAGATATGAACATGAGTATACGGTGAACAAGTGTCAGTTATTTGGTCCAATTAGTATAAGAAAGCCTTATAGGAAGATGAATGTGAGTTCTTGTTGATAGAGGAATCTGTCATGGAGAAGAACCAACATACACGAGGAAACATGAGTTGTTTCCTAATTGGATTGTAATAGGAAATCCTCATTGGTTTAGGAGAGGTATATGTATATATATATGCTGTAATCTCTGCTCTCATAGACACGCTCAGTCAAGAACTAAGTCCTATTCTTAGTTAGAGCATTAAGAGTTCTACCAGAGAGGAGAAGAGTTGCAGCATACAGAATTTGGACAGCTGCTGCAATGGCATATTCGAATGGAGGTTCATCAGGTTAGTGTGAATTCATCAGTTCATATTTAAAAGGTTTTATGCTTTCTTGATTGTGTTTTATGTGGCTTAAATCTTGATCTTGGCTAATTGATTCTAACATAAAGAGAACCAGGAGGTTAAGACGATTATTTAACCACGTATGCAAGTGAACTAAAAGGTAGGTAGCAGCAGGTTAAAGGTAAACCAAAGATTTCTAGTTTCTTCTTGCACACTCCAAGTGCTACTATCAATGTCTCTCAAGGAGATCCATGGTAGATTTGTTCCCAACACCAACATGCATTGACGGTTCGCATCCTGTCTCATTACAGACGGAATAATTAACGTTGTGATATCAATGCAAGTCCAAAATAGTAAATATAATGTATTCAAAGAGAAACTGGACTGAGAATACAGCTGAGATTAATGTAAATTACAAAGTGATAGGTTCGTGAACTAGGGACTGAGATTTTTTTCTCAAGTCGAGTCCAGATATATTTTTCGGACACATTCGTTGTTCAATGTGGCATGTAATCGATGATACAAGGCAACATTTGGCTTTTTGATCGAACCACCGTGATAGAATTCAAATTTACAGTGGTACACATCAACTTACCTTATTTGCAGATCACTTTTAAGTGATTCTGAGGCAGCAGAAAGCATCATTTTCCTGCTTCGCCTGCATGGATTGCCGTTGATCCTCTACTTGTTGGAGCTGCGATGACAGTTGAAGCAAGTCGATAGTGGCTCCATCTTGACAGGGTAGACGATCTTTGGTGTTCGCAAAACCTGATCCTTGGATAATCCCATCTGAGATTCCAAAATCATTGGTATCATCACAATCATTAGATAGCAGTATGGGACTCAGGTGACTCCTAGAGCCAGAATTCATTCCTGAAGAAGGGAATTTATGGCTGGCTGGTATGACCAAGGGGCGCACGATAGGAATTCCTGACAAATAGCTTGAAGAGTTCTGTGATTGAGATGACAGAAGAGAGCGAGCACAGCCAGAGTTTGAGATTCCTGATAATCCTGGAACTGCTGAAGCTGTGTTGAAAACATTGAAATCTTGACTTCCTAATGCGGTCTCATGAAAAATAGAATGTGAACCAGAACTTAGGCCTCTCACATCTTGTGGATATTGACCACCATTCTGACCGAATATGCTTGCAGTTAGAGGATTAGTTCCGTTTTCATGAAATGAGGGATACTGTTTGCCAATATCGTAAGAAGGGAAGACAGGTTTTGAATGCAGATGCCCGTTTGTAACAGGCATCCCCGACAAAGGCCTATAATGAGTCCCGCCTTCAAATTTTACGTGCCTGCAGCAGTCACCCATTCCATGTTTCTCAGGAATGTCAGTAGGGAGTATCTCTTGGCAGATAAAAGATGCAGTTGCTAACATATTCCCTTCAAATCTGCCACCTGCAAGATACGCATACTTTAAGATAAGCAATGAAAATCCAAATGCTTCAAAACAGTAGAGATGGAGTGATGATTCTCTAATTAGACACTCTGGGAACGGTAAGTTATAGAGGAGAATCCTTAGACTACATTCGATTGGAGTCTTATGAAACACGAGTCATGAGAACAACACATAACGTTTAACCGTTGGTGACTAGTTGGATTCATTTGTGAATGCAATTGCGGATTTGAAAATTAAACACAACTTTTGTAAATTTGGGTGCGCGTTGGGCCCGTTTGAAGGTTTTGAGTTGAATTCTAGAGAAATTGTAACAAAAACATATGATCATACAGAGAAGATGACTCTTATTTAAGGCTTTTTCATCCATAGTGGTGTTCAAGGAGGTTGACTTACTTAAAGAAACCATCTCTTACGTATTTCAATATAAATTTCAATTGTATATTAGGCCTAACTCTCCGAGGCAAAAAGTTTCAGCTCAATGTTGCAGCTGCAATATGCACCCAGTGGACACATTCCTCCATTGCTAAGGCTTGATTTTCGACATGGTAGTCGCTCAAAGCCTCAATCGTAAGGGAGAAATTGGGTCAGAAAACAATTTTTCATCGATAAGGGGGTCAACAATATATAGAGGACACGGATGCGCAAGAGATGACAGTGTGTTTGTATGCAGTTGAGGACAAAAAGGAGGGGTGGGGGGGGGGGGGGGGGACCAGGAAATGCAAGAATAGTCTAGATCAGAAATGAATTATTAAATTTTAGTAATACCATCAAATGACTGAGGGAACCTCCCAGCTCTTCCAGGATGACTCCCTATCTGAGGCTTTCTCCGCCGCTCGTTGTGTCCTGCAAGGCGCCTACGACAGCTACGCTTACCATCATCAAATTCACCCAACAAATGAAACCTGTATGGTCAGAAGCTAGTACATATTATATCAGCAAGCAATAAGAATCGTAACATTAGAAAAGCAGTTCGATTCAAAATCCAGTTGGGATTAACTGAAGCGTGCAAAATATCAGAATGCCAAATGTTTGTGACAAACCGAAGAACAGGAAATTCAATCAAGAAAATATGAATCATGACAAACCTGCTACATTGTTGACAAAACCTCTGTTCTATGCCGTTGACAATAACTTTCGCAGTCTTCGAGTGAACCTCGCAAACCTTATGCCTCTTGTGGTAGTCCTTATAGGAGCTAAGATCCTTGTTGCAACCATAAACCTGGCAGTAGGCAGGCCGAGGATACACACCCAAAACGCGCATTCGCTTAGGGGGCGTTGATGATCCAGATGAAGACAACATGGGAGTTCCTTTAGACAATTTAGAGCTATGAACATCTCTGTGATCAGCCAATCTCCCTAGTTTTAAGTCAATGAGTGAAGAATCCCTACTGCTGGAGTCCACAATGGAGCTCGAAATCCTCGAAGAGGATTCGTCTTCACCGAAAAACAAATTCGGGGTAGACATACTTGTGCTCACTGCATCTCTAATTGAATCATTCTGCAAATGTTTGCCCACCATTTCTGGAAAACCCAACTCCCCAAAACCTTGACTTTCCATAAAAGTACAAGGGGTGTTCAATTCCCAACCCATCAAACCATTTCTACTTCTAGAAAGTGAATCAGTATGTGAAATTGTTCCATCTGACACAACAAACCCTTTCCCTTCAGAAATACAGCTCCAAGATTCCATTGCATGTAAAAATAAATAGAAATGACCAGATTCTACCTAAATCCCACTTCAAATTATGCCATAAAATTATCACACTTTTTACCCAAGGATCAACTGATTATTTATCTATAGGTTCCCATTGGAGAATCATCACTGCCACTTTACAAAACCCAAAAAAATTCTAACTTGACCAAAAAAAACGAGGGACCGCACCAAGTTTTCTCCTTGGAGTTCAAATTCATGGGAATATCATTTTCTGGGAAGCCAAACAGATTGCAAAGGAAACCCCATCAGGATTATATTAAGATAAATATAACCAAACTCCAAAACAAGTTGAATTCAATCAAGAAGCATTGAAGGAAGAGGTAAAAAAACTATTCATGCTCAATGGAAAGCAAAAGAGTGAATAAAGTGGGAAAACAAAAGCCAACAAAACAGCACAGTATTCAAGTACTTAATGGAAAAACTAATCAGCACCCGATAGAAAGGATAACCAAAAGTTGCCCAAAAGAGAGAGAGAGAGAGAGTTCAGTATACCAGTGTAAAGGTGGAGAGTTGGTATAGTGTGGTAGTACGGGGTTGAGGCAGATACACCCAAATTGGAAGAGCTTTAAATATTAAACTCCATGGAAGAGCTTGCAGTAGCTAACTTGCTAATTTGAGAGAGAGAGAGGGAGAGAAAGAGAGAGAGAGAGAGAGAGTCTGAGACCATTGAACCGAACTGCAACTTTATTTAATTTAGTAGACTAAAGTTAGAAAGCAAAAGAAGTTTACCCACTTTTTCCTTTGGCAGGCAAGCAGTCCAAGGCATTGCTATTTCCACACTTCCGATTAACTACCCTATATTTCTTTTTCATTTCATTACTGCAAGACAATAATAGAGCAATTTTTTTTCTGTATTTTAAACTATTTTAATCGATAAAGACGAGAACATAGCGATATATTTCATTGGATGTAGGAAAAATTAATCAAATAAACTGTCCCAATCGACTGGTCTAACATGAATTTTTTCTACAAAAGATATGGATAGGAGAGCATAAATGATAAATCTTGAGCCTATACTGTTGCTATATGGTGTGAGTGGGGGGGAAAATTTGTTGGTAGAAGTGAAACTTGCGGACAGAAGTTTGATTGAAAACACAAATTTAAATTTAAATATATATCGGAGTGGATATAGAAAACATAGAGCTCATAAGCACCTACGCAAGAAATTTTAATGAGTTTGAAACACGGAGAGGTAGTCATATATCATTATATAAGTAAAAGAAAGTTTTTTTTTTCAAGTGTTTTTTTATTTGTACAACGATATATGACTTAGGTTCCTTTATTCTGCTCACATTGAAAAAAAAATTATTAGAGGCCAAAAGTAGAAAGTGTGATTAGTTTAAGCAAGGAAAACATTGGCTCGAATTAAAAAATGCCCCGTGATGATGACCAAAGCCATGCGAACGACAGTCACGTCCAACAAGTCAATACTGTCCAACTATTTTAGCAAATTTGCACAAATGGCCTAAAGTTTTTCTAGTTTTTTGCAGTTACCATATAGATTAAAAGAATCTACAACTAACGACCCTCAATATAATTTGTCACCTATGCGGCTATGTCCAGTTCCATCCATCTTTCCGTCAAATGATGACGTGTAACAAGTACACATACCATTTTAAGGCGATTTTCGTAATGTCACTCAACTAGGGTTTAAATTTGTTGAGATTTTCTAGAGAAAATAGAGAAAATATGTTGAGGGAAGAAAAAAAACTGCATAACACATGTTTTTGTAGCAAGAAAGTGTGCAACACGTGGTGATTTGACAAAACTGAAAAAATACGTGTATCAATTGTGCAAATTGCACAAATTATTGTTTGTCGCTAAACATGTGGTAACCTATCACTCCTGCCCTGACTGGCTGGAGCGTGCATGCAAATGATGTTGAAGGCGAATGGGGATGGAACAACTCACTTACAGATATGGGGTGCTTTCACAGAAGTCATCTCTCTCAATCTGCTGGGTATAAACTTTAAGATTTGGGTGCAGATCTTTCTTTGAATGGGGTGGTGCCTATTGCCTGGTGGATTAGTGGTGATGGTGCGAAGTTTCCCCCAAACCCAACATTTAACTTTGTCCTTGCTTTTGAAAAAAGGAAGATTTGACGTGCAAATTCCTACACCATCCACTCAAATGATCAAAGACCAAAATTTGCAACGAGTACAAACTACAAAATCGTAACTTACATGTTTTAGTTTGATTTTTATCTATTTTCCAGGTCTTGAATGGGCGTAAAAACACATTTTACTTTGATGGTTGTCATTTGTTATGACATTCGAACTCTAGGTTTTTGTTTATGATTCAAGGGATATTCTAGTTACTTTTATTTTAGTTTGATTTTATCCATTTTTCGGATCTCGAACCAGCGTGAAAACACATTTTACTTTGATGGTTATCATTTGTTATGACATTCGAATTCTAGATTTCTGTTTATAATTTAAGCGATATTCTAATTGCTTTTATTTAAATCATAAAAAGAGTGATCCAAGTTTGAGTACAAAAGAGAACAATGTTTTAGTCAATGCCTAGTCTGCGAAATGGAATCTCCTTTAATAGCAAATACTAGTACCGCTAAAATATATAGTCATGGGCGTATTTTCTTGTTAAAATAATCGACTATTAGCATAATTTCTCAGTTCCTAACATCTTTGTCTATTCTTATTTTAGTCAAACTCACATCTTTATCTATGTTTTTAGTTTCTCTCATCTCTATTAAGTTCAAAAAATAAATATGATAACAAGTACTAAAAATTCAATATTTAGAACAAAGTTGAACTAAGTTGGTGCAGTCATTTCTGTTAAATTTGTATATAAATGTGAGAGGTCAAGTACGGTTTGATTTTCTTTATTTGTTTAATAAAATTTCACTTTTTATGATCGAGATTTCATTAAAACAAATCCACTTTGACTATCGCCCCAAAGTGTTAAAATGTAAAACTAAATTGCTAAGCAAAAGAGTGTTTGGCAAATTTTTAGGACTTGATTACTTAAAAAGAATCATAAGAGGAAGGAATGTACGAATCAGAATGAGTATAAAATGACAAGAGAAGTGTTCATTGAAGTGTTTACTAACTACCAGAAATGAGAATTGAAAAGAAGTTCAATCCAAATATAAGTTATAACAATCAATATGGTGGATCATCAAAGAAAAAAGACCGGTAATATATGATGTCATGAATTTAGCACATCTCAGTCACTTGGACAAAATATTCCAACCAGTACAAAACATCAACCAAACATTTTCTTTCCAGTGTAATCATTGAGAGGTAGATTGTCCGTCCTCCTATTTTCATACTTTTTTCATCTCCTCCTATTTTGTGTGGTCACGGTTAAACCACGTTAATATTTTATATTCCTATTACTTTTTGTTTTATTATTTTTATAAAAAAATCAATATAAAATAATGATATGATTTAACCGTGACCACATAAATAGAAGAAGACATAAATAATATGAAAATGAGAGGGCAGACAATCCATCTCCTACTCATTCAAATATTTGACTGACATTAGTCCTTCATTTACAAATTCTTTTGTTGTAAAGTACATTTAAGGACAGAACAAAAAATAATCCTTCTAGTTAATTAGCTGCAGAAAAGGATCCATATAATATTGTGGGGGTGTCTTCACCCCCCTTTGTTCACCAAAAAAGTATGACATAATATCGACCACAAATATTAAGTTTTGTTTTTATTTTATTTCTGCCGACGATGTAGGAAAGAAGGAAAAAATTAAGAATAGTGATATTTACACACTTATTTTTATTTTTCACATATTTTTGTTAATTTTTTATCATTAATATTTTTTGGTTCATTTAATCCGTAAGGCTGAAAATTAAGAGGCATATGTAAGAAATAAAAATGTGTAAATACCCAAAACTAATCACAAAGACTTGCAAGTCTCCAACTAAGAAAACGAAAGTCTAGACAAAAAGAGGTCATGTCAAATGGAAAGTATTAATTATTCTACGTACTAAATGAAATTGAGTTTCAAGGAAAGATCAAAGGTATGCATTCAGATTAGATATTAGCGAATGTAAACCATAAATCAAAGTCAAATGCGACGCATAAAATGGTCGACAAAACTTTGGCATCAGAGTGAATGCAAAGTATATGTTGGCTGAAGAAAACTGTGTGTTCACGTCCATCAGAGTGAATTCATCAAGCGACTGTAGATTGAGCCTTACAGAGTTGGGGCCAGAGACGAAACCCTACATCCCACTGCATGCTCCTTAACCAGAATACATAAAACCATAGACGGAAAAAAAAACTATGCACACCAGCTACAATTTCAGCCAGTTTGTTTAGAAATCGTCCCCTAACTAACTCATTGTCACGCGGTCCCCTAACTCTTTAACTTCCATAGTTTCCCTGTTAGAATCGAGAAATTCTATGGCTCGAATCTTTAGTATTATCTTATTTATTACCTGTCTACTATTTAGGCAGAATACCGTCACATATTGTTACTAAGAAACTGAAAGAAACCTCAGCAACGGAAGAAAGGGGGGAAAGTGAGGAAGAAACAAATGTAGAAATAGAAACAACTTCCGAAACGAAAGACTAAATAGGAACAAGAGGGATCCACCGAAGAAGATCCTTCCCCTTCCCTTTTTTTCGGAAGAAAAGGAGGATACGAACAAAATCGATGAAACGAAAGAGATCCGAGTGAACATAAAGGAAAAAACAAAGGATCAATTCCACTTTAAACAAAGGAAAAAACAATCGATAAAAAAAACCCATTTATAAAACTTATTATCTGGATGGGAATCAAAAACAAGAAAATTCAAAATTAGAAAAATTTAAAAAAAAAAAAAAGAAAGATATCTTCTGGTTTGAAAAACCTATTGTGACTATTCTTTTCGACTATAAACGTCAGAATTGTCTGTCGCGATATATAAAAACAATCGATTTGAGAAATTTGTAAGAAATGAAATGTCACAATATTTGTTTCTTCATGTCAAAGTGATGAAAAAGAAAGAATATCTTTTACATACCCACCCAATTTAGCAACTTTTTTTTTAAATGATGCAAAGAAAGATGTCTTTGTTCACAAAAGAAACATTCCCTTCTAATGAATTTTATAATCATTGGAGTTATATTAACGAACATAAAAAGAAAAACCTAAGCAAGTGCCTTCGCCCATAAGCGGTAGGTCTCGGGTTCGAGACTTGAGAGCAGCCTCTCCATAAATGGGGGTAAGGCTAGCCGACATTCACCTCTCCCAGACCCTGCGTAAAGCGGGAGCCTTGTGCACTGGGTACGACCTTTTTAGTAAAAACTATCGACAAAATTCTAGATAAGGAAGCCCTTTTAGTTGTATAGACAGAATTATCAATGCTGTATCTAATTTGGTACATGGAAAAGTTCTAAACTTCTTGGCTAAAATGGGGATAATTAGGATTTAAAATGTTAGAGAATACCTAGGGGTGCAAGACAACTCTCTTTAAGGAACTCAGCAAGATAGCCCCGTAACTTCGGGAGAAGGGGTGTCGCCTCACAAAGGGGGTCACAGTGACCAAGCCTGGGAACAAGAAGAGATCCATTAAGAGAAAGATTTATCCGAGAAAAAATATTAACAATTATATCCAATCACAAACTACACGAAAGTCTCTCATCTTTATTCTTCATTGGACGGTTCGGATGAACTTCGCCGTTCTTTACGAGCTAAAATAGAAAAGGCTGTGATTCTCTAATCTCTAAAGAGAAGGGTCGAAAGAAAAAAGTCTAGACTCTCACAAATATGAACGACATAAAATGACAATGAGGTAAATGTTCTCTTGTTAGATGTAATATGTTTTATACAATACAGTTCAATAAGGACAAAATCTATCTGTAATAGCTAGCATAGTCTAAAGACTAACTGGA